AGATGTGTTGATGTGCCCTTAATAAGTCTTATGTAAATACATGAATGATTGTTTTGAAGGACAGTTGCTAAGCTGTTAAGCCATTTTTTTTTCCTTAAAAAATCCATGCATACTCCTAAATGTTCTGTGGGAACATTCTGTGGGAATGTTCTGGAGCAAGGAGATCAAAGACCAAACCACCCACGAGCCCTGCAGAGGCAGAATACTGGAAAAGGCAATGACAATTTTCCTCTAGTTTCAATTAAACCAGTGTGGATCCATTGAAACAACTCAGCATTTGAACAAAGCTAATATCATGGGATTTCAAGGGTATGGAGCTGTTTCTGAACTTCTGCAAAAACTCAGTGTAAGGGTATCAAAATGTAAACACTACTCTGAAACCATACCTTCGAATTTCTGATAGATTCATATTGGCTTGTCTAGCACTTGGGCTACTTAGCACTGTACATTTAGAACTTTGATATATGGAAGTGAAGAATATTTAATATGTCATCTGGGGAACCTAACAGTTTCAGAACTGGGAATCTGGGACTTCTCTCCAGCCTCTGTTCTTCCTGATGGTGCCGCATAATGGTACATTTTCCTGTATTTGCCTATTCTTTTTTCAGCACCCCCAAGAAAAACAGATAGGTGATTACCAAAAAAAACTAAAAATAGACCATTACACCTTTCTTCCTGGTTGCCTTCCAATCTGCACTTCTGTCGCCTAGAAGAAAAAGGAAAGAAAAATGTTGAGAACTTCCTCTTTTTTTTTGCTTGAGATTTACAAAGGGAGCCTTTTCCTAAACATGCCACAGCAGGAAAGTGGAGTAAAGTGCCCATAAAAAAAAAGAGCAAAGTATCTCTGTTTCCCTGTATAAATGGTGAATGTGTGTTCATTTTGGTGCCCCTCCCTGTGCCTTTTGCTCTGACATTATGTGCGGACCCCATCATTTCCTTTCTCCCACCTCTCTGCAAGGACATGGCCACCTTTCAAGAAAGAAATGTATGCAATCTCTGCTTTACACAGTAGTAACAGACTAATGTATTTGCATGTAAATCTACCCCAGCCATATCTAAGCAGATGGCAGTACCCAACCAGCATTGTCTAGATCTAGAAGCTAAGCAGCGTTGGGATTGGGTCACTACTTGCATGGGAGACTACCAGGGAATATCTGGGCAGTAGCATACACCAAGAGGTTGAAAACCATTCCATAAGAATGCAATGGCAAGCCACTTCCAACAGTTGCCAAGAAAACTCCAAGGTCAGGTCTATAAAGTCACCTGGGGTTGAGTTCAAATGAGACTATTTTTTATTGTCCAGTAAATGAAGGATGGGTTCGGGGGAGGGGGGTAGCAACTGGTAAGAAATGCATCCTGGTAACTGCCTTCTAGTAAGGCTATGAAACTGGGGAGGCATACCATAGGTCACTCTTAAACTCAAGCATTTTTTTTTTCTTTTTACTAAGTGATTGATTAATGTGCCATCAAGCCAGGGTTGAATCTGTGACCACATAGATAGATCTTCTCTAGGATGATCTGCCTTCAGCCTGGCCCCTCAGATCTCCAGTGGTGAATCCATTGACCTTGCTGCTGGTCCTCCTTTTCTTCTCTTTCATGCCACCTTTCCCAGCATTATGGGCTTCTCAAGGAAGCTAGGTCTTTGCAGAATGTGTCCAAACAATAATTTGAGCCTCATCATTTGTGCCTTGAGTGGGTGAGACTGATGATTTTCTTGCTCTCTACTTTATGTTGAGAGTCTCCATAGAGGAATCTCCCCACCTCAGAAGTTCACAGTCCACCGTGGAGAGCAAGGAAGCACAGCTGACACCTAGTTCTTGTCCTTCTTTGTGTTTTGTAGTTAAGTAATGTTTGTAATGACAAAACAAGGCTTATAATGGGGAATCTGTTGCTTTCCAGATGTTACTGAACTCCAGCTGACAGCATTCTTTGCTACTGGCCATGCTGACTGGTGCTTCTAGAAGTTGAGGTCTAGTAACATCTAGCAACCCTATTGCCCATCCCCGATTTTTTGGCTGAAAGATATTCATTCATCTGTACTTAATTATTTCATTTCTTTCCCAGTACAGCCACTGTTATGGGAAATACACTGTCTATTCAAAAAGAACCTGAAGACCAAGATCCTGTTAGTGCAACAGCATATTCACAGGTAAATTTTAGAGTAAACTTTTGTTTTATATTAGCCTTACCCAGTGTGCTGTTCTCTAGATGTGTTGGATCTCAGCTCCCAGAATTCCCAGCCAACATAGTCTTTGATTTCCAATACTTTTCAAAACCACTTGGATAAGTTTGGCTCATATAGAATTCATACAGTATTGAAATGTGCACAGTGCTGTATATACATATTTTGATGTACCAATAACATGGACCTAACCTTTCTGCACCATAGCTTGTGTCTTCTGTGCTTTTGTTGGCAGTTATTTGGCCTTCATTCAGCCAGAGATTTGTCCAATGCATTGCTATCTTTCACTCTTTCACATATTTCCCTGCATCCGATAAGACTTGGTTTTGGGGAGAACTGAAGACTATGTATGCTTCCTAGCGCAACAATTTGTTTGGAACCTTCAAAGCAAGTATATATTATGAAAATTACAGGTTCATCCAAATTCTTTTTTTAAGTTGAAAAATTCAAAATGGTGGCCTTCATTGCCATTGTTTTCAGGCTATTGTAGCAGACTGTAGTATAATATCTACTGGGGGGAAAAAAGCTTCAGACTGATAGGTGGACTGTTTCTCTAGAGCTCATTTTACTTGAGATGGACAATATTCAAAGAAGGGGAGTAAAGGGTGGAGCATCTAGGTTAGAGTGGATCCACCTTGATTGGCTAATTTGCCTCAAGAAGTCTCACAGCCACTCCAATATATGTAAATATGGGCCAATTTTGCTTCATCAAAGCATTTTGAAGGGCTGCTTCAAAGCTTCAAACATTCCTGAAGACAGACTGACTATCTATCTATCTATCTATCTATCTATCTATCTATCTATCTATCTATCTATCTATCATTCCATGCAGCCCTATTTTAACACAAAACATTTTGATATTTCTGATTTAAAATGGGGATATTTTGCAAAAACAGACAATTTGAAACTTATATAGCAGAATAAGAATGAAAATTAACATTGCATTTCTGCACAAATCTGATCAGAAGTAAACCAACCTGAATTTGGCTGGATTTACTCCCAAGCAAGTATGCTAAAACTGATTGTTTTGGAGAAATGAATCTGGAGAAGGGGCCATTTCATGAATCTATTTTGCCTCCAATTAACTGAATCCATTCCATGCATTTTTATCAGGTCACAGTTTGTCAGACCTGGTTCAAACTGAACTTCTGTTGATTGCTACAGTGAATAAAACACTACAAAAGTTCAGGACAAATTAGTAGTTCTGATGACTAAACTTTAGTCTGATGCTGCAGGTTTCCTCTGAACCTCCTGAAAGCCTTAAGAATGGACCTGTCACCATCCAGCCGGTACAGACGGAGCTTTCTGCAAACAGTAACACAGGTATGTTCTACTGGGACTGAAAAGACAAACAGTCAAGTGACACTACTTCATTGTGTGCGCAGGAGACAGAGAAAAAGAAAGAGAGAGCACATCATGTAATGCAAGGATAAGCTATCCATGACCCAACAAACCACATAACCCCCCAGCACCCACAGAGTAACCCACAGTTTCTCAGAATAGGCAGGGATGAATTTTCAGACCTTCCTTGTACAAGTTGGGATGTTCTCAGCAGCAGTATGGATGCCTTAAGTCTTGAAGTGACTGTGCCCCTTAAAAACTACCAGCCCTCCCCCAATTGCATTTTCCCCCCATTTTGAGTGGAGCTGTTCAGAAGTAAAATGGGTCTTATAGCTCTTGGCAAAGTTTAAGGTATCCATTATTGTCAGGCCCAGCCCATGATCTACAGGGAAACAGTCCAGCCGAGCTATATGGTGTATGCTTACACCATATAGATGGAATCTTGCCAGATTAAATCTGTACTACTCTAACCTAATGGAAATACCCTGGGAGATTCTAGGGAGTGGCTATGCTAAATATCTTCCTCTTCCCCTGCTCCTGCTCTGGACTGTGCTGTCTCTTGTCTCCACATTCCTGGAATGTGCTTCCTTCTTCCTGAGATCCTGCTGCTCTATTGCAGTCCATCACAATTACGCCCTGAAAACTCTGAAAACTTGCAAGGACCTCAAAACACACAAAAAAATTCTAGGGTGGAATTGTTTACCTGTCTCTTCCTGGTGATGACTTGATATCACAAACTATAACCTCTGCAATTCCCAGGACAGCTCTACAAGTTCAGCCCTATGGGCCAGAAAAAGGTCACCCTCCTGCAACAGAAAATAGATTCAGCAGTTTGGTACCTTCTAGGTGGGACTACAGCTCCCCTCTTCCCCTACCAACATTGTCAACACCTCTGGAAGACCCCAGATGGGGGGTTACCTATGCATACATAGAAGTCTAGGCCAGTTTTATTTCTGAAGTATAGAAAGCATGCAGATTTGAACTGTGCAATGCTATAGGTGATGGTTGTTTGGGCAGGTTGCAAAAATGCATCACAGTGAAGATGATAGGGATGAGACATACAGTAGACAAATAATATATATTTTTGCAGCAGACCTCTGTTAATGGAGATGTATTGAATTTTTCACAGAATGGGGAGCTTAGGGAATAGTTCATGAATTATTAATCTTTATTGTGTTCCTTTGCTCATGGTCTAGAAACAACATAATACATTTTTTCCATTCTGGGATATGTCCAAACTTTCACTAACCTAAAGCAATCTTTAAAGGTATTGAGACTATAGCCCCAGGATTTCCAGGTGGCTTGGGTTACTACCTGGATATATCTGAGATGGCAGGCTGGAGAAGTTTGTCCCCCATTGATGCAAAGGTTTCCAATAGAAGATACCACCTCTTTGTCATTTCTATTTCTATTCATCATTTCTATCCACAGTAGATATATTCAAATCATATCCATTAAAAAGTTCTTAATCATATTAATATGAATATACACTGGTAATTAGAAATTCTCAAGGAAGAATACTCAGAAGATAAAATGGTGTCAGACAAACTCCCATGTATTATTGTATATCTAAAGAAACACTCCCCATGTGTGTTGCTTCTGCAGGTCTCTGTAACTTAGTTCGTTAAGGTGTGTGTTTAAGATTAGGATATAGACGTTTGTTTGGAAAACAAAGTGTCTATTATTGCAGCTGGCCTTGAATTAATTAGGATCCTGAATTGGATCCAAAGGATTTCATTTGAGGTTTCTAAAATGGATGCAATATTAATGTCTCCCATGAATCTGATCTCTACAGAAGCAGCAAAGTATGATGAAAATAATTCGGTAAGGAAGGATGTCTAAGCTTGATAGCTGCAGTGAAAAACTAAAACATCAAGCTGGCCTGATCAAGATTTCCAACAGACAACCTGAATGCATCCCCCCAAAATATATCTGTCCTGTCCTGTTTTTTTAAACAAGACCCCAAACAAGTAGTAGTAGTTATCATCATCATCATCATCATCATCATCATCATCATCATCATCATCATTCTTACTTTGTTTGGGGTCTTTTTAAAAAAATCCAGAGTTTCCTTCGACCTGATAGTGTCCTGGACTACAATTACCATTATTCCTAGTCATGGGTTGGTTGGTATCTTATAGCATCTGGGTAGTGGCATATTAAGGGAGGCTCTAAGGGGAGTTGAGTTCATTCCAGATGAATGAGTTGCACCCCTGCGAATTCTGAGCAATGCCTCACATCTGGCTAAGAGGTAGGGCTGATGACCTTGGGTGGCTGCCAGGTGTTTCGTATCTCGGCAAGCTGCATTGTGCTCTGTGCTCCCAAGTTGCATACTTCCAATGATCTCCAGGATGATCTGGAGCTGCTGTGAAATTTCTCAGAGTGCCCTCAATCTAATATTGCTCCAAGCCCCTAAGCATTGTGAATTGTTTAAAAAGCAAATCCAAATTCCCTTGGCATTCGTTGATGTACTGAAGAATGGAAGGCCAAGGAAACTTTCTGAGGTTGTAAGTAGAATGGTTATGGCCATCTTCACTAGAAGACTCAGTGAAAAGATTCCACTCACCGATATATCGCTGCAGAGTCTGTCTGTAGTGAAATGGACAGAGACAAATTTGAAATATGAATAAATATAAATAAATAAATATCCAAAATCATTGTCACAAATAGGTCTTTCTGGGATTGTTTTACAAAGCTTGCCATGGTCATATAGGGAGTGCCTCATAGTCTTATAAATTCTTGCTCATTTTTTGTGGCCTGAATTATCACTTGTCTATTTTCTGTGTACAGTGAAGGTGCAGTTTTGAGTACAAAAGGCTGATCAGTCAATAGCAGGTATACATTGTGGGTGTTAGCTTGATTGATTAATAGTGTTTGACTTGATTCTGACTCATTGGCACTCCTATTTTCCACATGACATTCTTTGTAAAAGAGGAAAGACACATGCCAGTGCAAAAACAGGCTGCCATCCCACCCCACCTCCACCCCCAGCCAGGGTTGATCTCACTAATGAACAAAGAGACATGGCCACTTTATGCCACGAATTTTAAAAGAATCTCAAAATAGAGTTTACGACATTGTATTTTAACTGCTGGAGGTGAAAAGAAAGGCTTGTTGGATGTCCTACAACATGTGCCAGAACTAAGTTGATTGTCCTTGGTGACGATGGTCCTTGACTTGCCTGGAGGTCTCATTTGCTGTTACTGCATATCAGGTGGTGAAAGACCTTGCCTCTCTTCAGTGTTGAATCCTGCCTTGATGCATAATAAGTTTTATCCTGGTCTGCTCAACTTTGAATACATCAGGCTGAGCCAGCCCTATCACATCTAGGAGATCAATAACTTGCTGGCTCTTCCTTATCTGTTGGGGCTGCCAAAAAATGGGAAAGCTTGTCAAGTAACTGACAGACTCTGACAAGTGTCATGGCCCAAAGTTGCTTAACCTGTGTGCAGCTGAACATGCCATCACATGTCCAACAGTTTGCAAACAACTTCTCCAAAAATGTTAGCATGTTTACTAAACTGGTTCCTGATTAGCAGAAATTCTTTTCTGTCCCAAGTGCATATTAAATCTTAAGCATTTTTTTAGATTTCATTAGACTTCACTACACAGTAATTGCCACACATAATTTTTTTTTTTGAAAAAAGGAAAAGAAATGTTTAGAAATGTATAGAGAATTAGAATATAAGGGCCAACATGTTTGGAAGTTTTCCTTCTCTCAAAATGGAGCTAATTCAAATGTTGACAAACAGCAACTTATAAAAAATCTGCCACAATTATTAATTAGTTTGTCTACTTCCCATTTATGAAGTGTCCACAGCTCTTGATGCTTTAATAAAATGCTCAAACTGGCCTTCAGCCACAGAAACAGGTCTGTGTTTGACAAGCAGAAAACATTCTGAAATCATGTTGACAATCCTATGAATTTCAGGCCAAAATATAGCAATATGACAAGACTATGTGACTTAGTGTCCCAACTCCTCAACTGCATCTTCAACAGCAAGGTAATTTTAGCCAACAAGGTCTGTTATGGCAGTGTCATTGATGCCCATGTGAGTCACCAGAAAGGGAAAGTTATCAATAGGTTTGAAGAGTTTCACCTGTCCTGCTTAGGAACTTCTCACCTTCCCTGGGGTGTTCAAGTTAGTACCTTTTTCCTCAAGCCTTTTCCCTCTAATAAGGACACATCTTTGCACCTCCAACAGTTGCAGTTTGGAATCTCTTCAAGCAGGAGGACAAGCATTGTGCATACCTTGCAGATTATCACGAAGCTTCCTTGACTCGCGATGCTACTTGGAGTCAATTATAATCTCCCCTGCCAAACTCCCACACAATACTCCCCTGTTTTGTTCCTCTGCTCAGAAACTAGAGATATTTTTATTCATCTGTGAAATCAATGGACATCTTTGATCACTTTTGCCTTTGCTCTACAGTGTAACACATTGCACATGCACGCCCAACTGTATTTGGGTCCATGCTCTTTCTCCTGAATATTTCTGCTAATGACTTTCAGAGGAGTACATTTTTATAGCAACTTGGCACTTCAAATAATTTCTTGTTTGTAAGAGCTGCCAAAGAAGATAAGGCTGGTTGTTATCAGGAGAGACACTCTTGATACTTCACAAAATATTTTCTATTGTGGAAAAGGCTTACAGAAACATCTGTTTGAATCATAAAGTGGGAAATAGTTTGCAAGACAAGAGCGAAATTAAAAGTGATGGCAACAGATGTGTGCATCTTAGACCTGGTTTGTATCAATCCTGCAAATTTTAATAGAAAGGAACACACAGGTGGTATGTCTATGTATGGATACATTTCACTCCATAATTACTTCTGTTATCTATTTTTTTTTCTTCATCCTTCATTGTGTTCCAATTTCAGACAGCAGTCTAACTGGGAAAATAAAAGGGACTGTGGAATTTATAACCCACAAACCCTTTTGATCTTTAAATCAGACGGACCCTCCTACCCCCTCTTGTTTT